CCTCCTCATCCAATTTGACTCTTATTGACGCCCTGATCTCTTGTGCTGTAGTTTGTCTGCCTATAGCGCCCTCTTCTTCTGTTTGTATTCCTACATCTTTCGTTCTTCTAAAATTAGCCTCCAGATTAGTAACAACCACCACCTCATCTAATCGATTTTTAATTTTGAATATATTCTCCTTTATCCCCTCCTTGATTCCATCCATTTTTAGAACTTTTCCAGAATCTCTGTGGCATGCGTAATCGCATCCGTTAGTCCTCTCATTGTTTCTTCTGTTATATTCAGAGAGGAATATTCTAACTGTTTTCTTTTCGAACACTTGAACTTATGATTTACACTTTATTGACTACATAGCATGATACGTTTCGTCGTTACAAACGACTTCTTCAGATGCTTACAGAATAATAATGTTTTCTTTTCACTCCAATTTGATTCCTACACAGAATGCTAAAAATACCCTCCTCTTCCTCAAATTCAATTGAATTCTCAGACAGCGGAGTGCTTGTCTGGACGCCTTCCTTCTATGTTCCTAGTTTTTTATTTTCACCTTTTCTACGCTATCCACGACCATCGTTCTTCACCACCTCGAACTCCATAGAATTTCCTTGTATTATCGTGTTTTCTCCTGTTTCTACCACCGATCATGCTCTTCCTAGAAAGCTATCTTTCTCAGTTTGTAGCCTTAACCTTTCCAGGCTTTTCCTATCCTCCCTCATCCCTTCTTGCGTGTTTATATCCTCAACAACACTCTCCATTTCCCCCCCAGACTTACTGAAATTTTCGGGACTATTTCCCCTTGGAGTATGCCACTCCTCATCTCATATATTCATGTTCTCGTTCTGCGACTTGTCTCCACACTTGCTGGTGTTCCACTGGCTAGTGTTCTGGTTACCAGATAATAGTTCAATTTCTCTAGTTTATACAGATTTCGACCTTGTCGACCCCAAGCTCTGCCTTCCTTCTGTTCTTTCCGGATTACTTCTCGCTCTTTTTGTGTCCTTTGATCCACTTGACCTTCCTAGCGATACTCGCGGTTTTCTCAACTCCTTCTTTCCTGTCTCAGTAGCAATAGAAACATCCTTGGTCTGAGATGCCTACGCTGTACCCAGTCTCGACCGGTTCTGAGGTATTCCCCCTCTGCACCGTAGTTTTGTTCTTCCGTTTATCCATTTTTCATATATTGATGCATTTTATGCCTCCTGCCAGGCACCCCCTCGGTAGGCCGCCCGATACGGACAGATGCATCCCAAGGTGGATTTCCTTTTCGGGTCGTCATCGTTTGATCTATCCAACAGGTAGTCCCTTTTGAAGAGTTTCCCTTCTCCGCTACAGATGCCGCCCGCTCCGGAACAGACACACCTGCCACCCCCAGGATAAGCCGCTCGATCAGAGTCAGACGCATCTCCCAGAGGAATTGCTTGCTGGTTTTGGTCCGGGGTGGTATTTTATTTCCACCTATCGACTGGCCGAAGCCAGCGATTATTCCTCTATCCGCCACCTGAGGACCCGCCCAGTAGGAGACCAGCACCAATTCCTTTGCTTCGATACCTGGGTGAAAGCGAATCTTTACCAGAATATCAGGAAATTAGACTTACTATAATCAACGGTAAGGCTACTCACATTATGTCCGTTTCAAGAGCAAATTGAATTTATTACTAGAGGCTTTTCACAGCGTAGCTACATGCTTACTTGAACACTGAGATTATGACTTCTGTGTGTAGAGAAATGTTGAATTGTTACTTAAAGTTCATTCTTATTTTTATTGAATTCTAAATTGGGTTTTTTCTGTGCATTTATTATTTGTTGAATATTCGCTTCTCCAACGCAATGTGAATTCTCCTACTACAAAATGATGTTAATTCGTTAGTAATGATTCGCAAAACATTGTACATAATAAATTGCATTTTATTTATATATGAGGCGCTTTTTTTCAAAACCATTCCACTTCTGATGAAACTGATTTATTGTTATTCTTTGTTTGGTAACAGCTAAATTTACACTCCACGAAAAAAATTTTTTTCCAAAGTTGAAAGAAAGGTTAAATGGCACGATTAAGTCAGAACTAGATAATTCCACCTCAAAATGAGACGACCCATTTCAAATACACATTTTCGAAACAAAACTGTGATTAATCCAGAAGTAATTTAAATATTTTAATCTCAATTGCAACAAAACATGCTTCATAAGTACATTTTTCAGTCCGAACTTTATGTTCTATACTCTCTAAAAGTTTATGGGTGAATAGTAACTGGTCATCGGTTAGATCGAATTGGAAGTTGGAATTAAAAATATTTCATAAAAAATTAAAGGTATACATATAATTTGAAACGAACCACTCCTGTTGAAACCACCAATTATTGAAACGAACTTCAATGTCATCTTAACACTAACGAAAATTTCATATTCACGTCGGATAATGAAAGTGATACAAAATTATCCTTCTTGAACGACAAAAAAGTCTTGATAACTTTGCTCTCACTGAAATTATAATCAAGATGCGTTTGAATGAAAACTTTATTTCTCCATAGCACATAACCAAACCTAATTGTCTCAATGCTCCTCGTCAAAACTAGATTATTCCATTTAAAATTTTGGTTATCATAGAAATACGGTCTATTATCGTTAGCATATTTACTCAATAGTTTTTGCTCCATTTTTGTTGGAAGTGGTTGTTGAATTATTGAAGTGTGCATAAAGTTCTCAATTTTGTTGAGCTATGTATTCCAATCGTCTTGATTGAACCAGTCACGTTTGAAAGTTACTTTTTGCCTTGCTTCGATACCTGGGTTCTGCTGGCAGGATGTTTTGAAGTGCTTGGCTGATTGAAACCCTCTGCCATAAAGTTTTCAGCCCGCACGTTTCTTGAGCATATTTTACAAGAAATTTTTTGATCTACTTCAGAACCACATCATTGACAAAAATACTTTCACCTTTCCTGACAGTCATTATACTTATGTCCTTGTGTTCGACAATTCCAACAAGCTGTGTCGGAAGAAATCTCAGATATACTCAAACTTTTTGAGAATCTAGAAACGATATTAAAGGATAATGCATCCTCAATTATTTTACATAGAGAAACTAAGGAAGGCATGTACATCTTTATGTCATGTGAAAGTAAAGCTTTAACATATTCAAATTCATAGTTGGCCCTAACAAAATTAACAATATCCTCCTCTGGAGGACACACATTCAACCGAATAACTTTAGCTTCTAATGAGAGAATGAAAGTCATCACCTATTTTCCTGGTTTCTGCTTCGTAGACTCGTCCAAAAGGATTTGATCGTAGTTAGACAATAGAAAAGTTTGTTTCAAACATGTTACTTACTCTGACCAATTCTTAAAAGTGCCTCGAATGACATGATTGTGCCACCAATTTCAAGCATCCTGATCGAATAAATAAGCAGCAGAATCGAAATGGTCGTTGTCACTGCAACAAAGCGATACTTTTATAGTATCTACTAGTTCCAAAAAGAAATCAGAGGTTATTTGGCAGAAAATTTTTTAGTACCCCATTTAAAAACTGGGATCTTCTTTGGGATGTTACAGCTGAGCCAGGTAAATTCGCTGAATATCTAACAGGAGTCGAACAAGCTGGAGTTCGTGGAACTATCATTAGTAAGCTGTTTATCTGCTTAATTCGATTTCAACTCAAATAGTCTAACTAACAGAGATTGTTTATGTGATGTTTCAACAACATTCTTTATTTGTAACGTGTGAATTCTACATGAACAGTGTGAATATAGTATATTTCATAATATACTATATTCATCCCTAGAGGAGGAACTACTAATACCAGCAATAAATTCCGCAATATCTCTTAATGAAAGTTCTAGCTCACCAAACTTATCATCAAACGCGTACACATCAACCTAAAGATATGAAGCTACGATTAGCCCTTTCTTGAGAAAGTGCACCTCTTAAATCTCGAAACCCGATGATGTTTTTGCAGTTTGACTACGTTGTTCTGCAGCTTTAATATTCTTTGTCGAATCACTGTAGCCGTCTATTACTACCGTCATTGTAAGTCCATAATGTCTGCGTAGATATTGAATATATTCATCAAACGCTAAAGTTTTATTCTTCATCCCACTCAACGTGATGTAGCAGGTATCCTTTATCAATAATGTAAGTAGCGTTTGTACGATCAACCTCAGTATCGACTGATTGAAAGCAATCGTAAATTGCTGACTTGTAATACGTATTTCAGCTACATGGAAAAGTGATAAGGGGTAAGGGGCTAATTCATGTTCAAACATTTTTTGAAATCTCATCTTCAATAGCTCTAATGATACCCATGCGTTGAAATGAAAATACAGGGTCTATAGCTACTTCTTCTTCGTGAACTTTCACGGTGCTACTGGTAGCTAAAAGAGGAAGTACTTTTTCAGAGCATTTTAATTTTATATTATTAAATATTTCACCTGTCATTCTACATAAAAACAGGACAGCCAAGTGGGTAGAGGTGATTCAGTTTGGGCCTGATTATCTTTTGAATGAATGTTTTTATGATAGTGTATACAATACATACTGATATGTATATACGTGGCTTATATGTGCATATTATGTATCTTGTGACTCGTAGAATCGTGATATCTTACGAATAATAACACCTTTAAAAAATCGTAGAAACCATTGTTGTAGAGAATTTTAATATCCACAACTTTGATTTGTGGTTTGTTTTGGTAAAACTCACCGTTTTCGGAAAAAACCTAAATAACCTCAAATTTTGATCTTTGACCCAAAATATTTTTTGTTGCACACATAGGATCGATGGGGATTTTTAAAACTTTATTTGTTATGGCAAACCCCAGCTCTCCACCAATACTTGACTTCAAGGCAATTTTTGTTATTAGACCACTATTTTTATGTCTGAATTGACCGGTCTATTGTGAATGAAAAAATAGTTTATAGTCAAGTTTCGAAAAAAAAACCTCCTCATATGTTCAGAAAATATTGTTTTCCGGCTTTCACAAACCAAGAAATGCAGTACAATGTCGTTGACGAAATAGCTCAGTTGGAAGGGCGATTGATTGAAGACTGGGAGGTTCCTGGTTCGATCCCGATTTTTGGCTTGACATTTCTATAGCATTGATGAAATAAATGACATAAGCCATAGATCTGATCTGTTATTTTTTGAAGCAGTTTTCATTAATTTTCTGAATATGGCCGAAATTCAAAGTATGAAGCATTATAACGCTATACCTATATTGAAAGTATGTCCGGGAAAACTTACAAAAGTATTAAGACAGGAGGAAGTAACAAACTTAGAAGAGAAGAATTTTATAAGAAAATCGTTGTTAACTCCTGTGGCGATTGATCATCAATCAATGTTGCAGCCTGAGGTCAAGAATAAAGTTCACTTTGAAATGCGAATTGAGAGATTAGGACTAACTAGGGTATGTTCATGAGTTTTTGATTGATATTTTGAGAATTCTGTCACCTGCCCGAGATATCTTAATTAAATGAATATAAATCTACATATTTTGCACTTTTTAGGGATCACAACTTCAAAATTGAAATATATTTGAATGTATATGTCTCTATTACAACTCTATTTTTAGACTGAATCAATGTCTACCTGCGATGAGATATTTATACCTTCAGAAATTTTGTACCGACAATAAGATAAATTAAGAACAAGGTTTGTCAGGTTGAAAATGGAGTTGAGAATTTTCGGTATTTACCTGAGATTTACGTTGCTTTTTACGATTTTTTTGTAACAGCCGTTTACATATGTTTCAAGCTAATTTGTAATAGCTCGGTCAAGATACTCAATTTCAAACCAAAAATGATGTAGATTCCTCACGTGGAATTTTGTGTTGTTTTGTTCTGTGTCTTTTTCTTTTAAATCAACTTTCAAGTGTGAACGTCTAATAACTTGAACTACACCGTTCTGATGAGAGCCAATTAGCTTGAAACATATGTAAACGGCTGTTACAAAAAAAAAACAAGCAAAGTTAATCTCAGGTAAATACCGAAAATTCTCAACTATATATATATATATATATATATATATATATATATATATATATATATATATATATATATATATATATTATATTTAGTGTTTAATTGAGGAAAATAAGTTACCTCTTTCGTATTTTACAAGCTTTCGAAAATGTTTATTTTCTTTTTCAGGGCTGAAATTGCACAATATCAACAGTTTATATATCAAGACACTATTGAAAAATTTTCAACCAATTACGATACTACGAATGACAATAGTCGGAAGATACATTTGTTTCTTGAATTTTGAAAATGAGTATTCCCAAATGCATTAGGTTTGAATTTAATGGCACTTTACGTGTAACAGTTGTTGGAGGAAGCAACGACTCTGACTGAATTCACGTTTTCAAGTTGATTGTTTCCAGATGAATTTTCAAGCACCCTCCTCATTTCTTGAATTACGTAACGTTAGACGATGTTTTTATGATTTAAATTTCATTTTTATTGAAATTTCATCACTTTAAGAAACGCGCAAAGCGCTTGAAAAACACATCTGGAAACAATCAACTTGAAAAGGTGAATTGAGAAATTCAGTCAGTGTCGTTGCTTCCTCCAACAACTGTACGTGTAATATGCAGTAATATTCAAACACAATGCATTTCGGAATACTCATTTTAAAATTCAAGAAACAAATTTTTCTTCGGACTAACTTCACACTAATTGTAAGAAAAATTTTCAATAGTACCTGTTATATAAACTGTTAACATTCCAAAATTTAAGCACTGAAGAAGAAAATAAACATTTTCGAAAGCTTCGAAAATACTAAAGTGGTAACTTATTTTCCTGTCCTGAACTGCAAAAACTTCAGTTTCATTGACATTTCATTTTATATCACAACGTTGTCAAAACTAATGAATAATTGAATTTTATGATTTGCTATAGATGATGAAAATACATAAACGCAATTTTGGTTTTTGCCAAAAGAATGAGTGTGACTTTTTGATATCTATAGTAATTCATATAATTCAATTATTCATTAGTTTTAACAAAGTTGTGAGTTGTGATATACAACGAAAATGAAGTTTTTACTATTGAAAATGGCCTGTTATTCTAAAAACATTAAATATAATATATATATATATATATATATATATATATATATATATATATATATATATATATATATATATATATATATTGTATGGGTTATAGGCAATACTCCTTTTAAAAAGGAGTATTGCCTAAATACTCCTTTTAAAAATAAATTACCAGGCAATACTCCTTTTGATATATATATATATATATATATATATATATATATATATATATATATATATATATATATATATATATATATATATATATATATATATATATATATATATATATATATATATATATATATATATATATATATATATATATATATATATATATATATATATATATATATATATATATATATAGTTTGGGTACTGCTTTGAACCATACAGGATATATGGACAACCAAAGATACATAAAGTCGATATACCCATGAGACCTGTTGTATCCACTGTAGGATCAGCTACTTCAGATCTGGGCAAATATGTGACATTGATGTTACCACGCCTTCTCAGATTACCATATTTAGGCCATAAAAGATTCATTTCAATTTAGTGATAGAGTTAATGATTTTCAGTTACCGGATGGATACAAGGTCATAACGTTGGATGTGGTTAACTTGTTCACTAATATTTCTATTGATAACATTTGGAAGATTATAGAGAGAGAATGGGACAGGACTGTTGTGTAACATCCATGGATTTTGAGATGTTTTGCATTAAGATGAGATTTTTGTTTAGATCAAATTATTTTATCCTCCAAGGTACTATGTGCTTACAGATGTTTGAGCACAGAGCACTATCTTAGCGTCTATTACTATGTCTACACTCCTGAGAAGCTGTATACCATTACTATCGTTCCAGTTACTTTTTTATATCAGTATGTGGACGATCTCATTTTATCAATACCTAACAAAGGAACAGAAGAAATTCTCACAATTTTCAATGCTTTCCATCACCATATCAACTTCACAGTTGAGAAAGTGAGTAATAATTGTGTCCCATTTTTAGACAACAAAGCAATAAAAACGAACAACAATGTTATCAAACTGGATTGGTCCCAAAAACGGAAATATATATCCACGCAAGATCAAATCATACTTGGGATATGAAAATCAACTTGATTAAACGGATGTTACATAAGGTTAGATCTATATGTCATTCTCAATACCTTGGATCTGCTGAAATCAGGTTCTTTAATATATTCTCAAAAAATGGATACTCGAGATTTTTTGTGGCGAAATGTTATCAGCACTCTTTAACGACCGGTTCTTCCTGGTCTGTTGATCAGTTTAACACCACTATTAATGATGATGTTCCTCAAGAAACTACTTCCCTCCGTTATGTTTCGTTGCCCTTCATTCATGAAATGACACAGAGGTTGTTCTTTACTCTTGGTGATGTTCCTAATATAAAAGTGGGCAGATATAATCCATTTTCTGTTCGTGATGTGTTTAGCAAGTTGAAATACAAAATACCAACACTAGCCATGTCGAATTGCATTTATCTCATATGGTGCAAGGACTGTCGATCAGTTTACGTCGGTCAGACGACCCAATGTCTAAAAAGGAGGTTAGCTATCCATAGAAGTGATGGTAAGTTGCAACCACGAAGATGCGCACTTGCGAATCATGCATCTTCTTTAGAGCATAAGTTTGATTTTGAAGATCCCAAAATTCTCTCCAGTGAATCTAACTACAAGAAAGAAACCTTCTTGGAGATGTGCTATATCAAGAATACTCCTAATAACATCAACAAAAAAAAACAAATATAGAGAGCTATAGCTGTATTTATAGCTACCTGTTATCGTTGGATGAACCTGGCCAAATTTCCAATGGCTAAGACAATCGGTCCTGTTGTGATTGTTTTCTGTGTCAGACAACAGATATTCTATGATTTAACGTCACTTTAGTAGTTTGTTTTACATGTCATTTATATATCTTACGTCGTTGAGCACTGTTGCATTCATAATCAACATTTTTATAATAACTGTTGGATGACTTTTGTGTCTTGGTCACATGAGTTATGTCGGATATGGGTTACCTTGTTTATACAAATTGTAACTGATTGATTAACACATTGTCTATATTTTTAGTATTCCTGAAGAACGGTATTCGTTCGAAATATAAAATTGCTGACGATTAGTCGTTTAAATTAGTTCTGCCCATCTTTTGCCGATAATCCAAAATATTTTGATAGTCTTATCATTACGGCAACACTCCCTAAACATGAATATATATATATATATATATATATATATATATATATATATATATATATATATATATATATATATATATATATATATATATATATGCGGCTTAGCGAAAACATCTTCAACTTCTCTGTGCCCTTAAATTTACATTCAATTTTTGATTTACTTTGAAATTTCGTGATACTAAGTTTATATTAATTCAGTTGATTAATGATCAGTGCAACAAAGCAATAATCATAGTGAACTTTCAATCATTATGATTTCATATCAACTTCTTGTAGTACGAGATCTAGATCTAAAAATTTGTATTCAAATAAGCATTTCGAATGGTTATCAGCAATAAAAATATCAGCCAGACCGCCCTTATAACGTCCGGGAGAGTGAGAGACAAAACATATCTAAAAACTGGCCTACCTGAAATTCTCTATCAAAAACGTTGCTAGCTAGTAGACTATTCAATCTATTTGTACAAGAAGCCACTGTAAAACATTGTTTCGAATAAGTACTTCGTATTTCGTTTGAATACCTGCATAACAACCATTCATACCAGAATGTTTATATACCTAATACTGAAAAATATGAATTGAAATGTTCCCCGAGCATCAAATTGTTAATATTTCATTACATTTTTCAGATAGGCTGCGAACTCCTGGAAGTCAACATGGACAATTTGCATTTAAGTTGGCAGTTAATGGAATTTCCAGAATCGATAATAACGTCTTCCAACTATAAGAATGATATTATTGAGTTCGAAATATCAGTTTTATATAAAATAGAAGATTACGAGAGTTTTGTGAAATTCATCGAAACT